TAAACAGAGACTGAGCAAGCCACACGGGCATCTGGAACTCCACACGGCCGTGTGGGTCGTGGCCGTGTGGAAATCACCGAGCCTTCACACGGGCTGCTGGGAAAGCCACACGGCCGTGTGGCCTGGCCGTGTGATCACGAATTTCTGTTTAAAACTCGATTTTCAGCCAAAGGAAAGGGGAGAGCTGTGTTTTTGGTTCCCAAACACCCAAGGGGCGAAACCTAGAGAGAGAGAGCGACTTGAGAACATTCTTGGAGCTATTTTGGAGGATTTCTTCGCCATTAGAGCTCGGCAATCAAGCTTGGAGATGGAGATTGAAGATCTAGATCAGATTTCTGTAGTCTCTCTCTTCTCTATGGAGTAACTTCCCTTCACTTAAGTTTTGAGGAACCCTAGTTCCATGTGTTAGGATCTTTCTTGTATGAAGTTTTGGATGCTTTATTGTTTGATTATAATCGATTGAGGCATGATTTGTTGAGTCAATTGAATCTTGATCAAATTCTCTTGATTTCTGCTTTAACCTATGATAGATAGAATCTGATTAGGTTAAGAGAGCTTCCTTGATTGATAGTGGTGAATTGGTTGTGCGAGAGTCAACCAATTCACTGCTTTGTACTGGAATTCATTCTAGTAGTGGAGATCTGTGTGAATCGCCTTAGCAGTCTATCCCGGTGAAGGCTAGTCGCCTGCCGAGTATTCTGTCTAAGAGGGCTTGGTCAGCTTAAGAGATTCCAAGCTAATTTAGGATCTTCCGCAGTTTAATCAACAGTAGATCAACCAAAGGTAATTGCAACTTGGACCTAATTGAGGAGCTAGGGGGAATCATACCTAAGTGATTTCCCAACTTGTAATTAGTAGAGTATTCAGTAGAGTAGTTTATAAATCAATCCTTAATCTAGTTTGCTAGATAATGAACTGAAGCTGAGTAATAGTAACTCTAGAGACCCGTGGATTCGATATTTATTACTTGTGCCACTATACTGTAGTCCCTTTCATTGGTTACACTTGGCCATTGTTAGGTGTTGTGTTTTAGCGTGTCAAGTTTTTGGCGCCGTTGCCGGGGACTTTCTAGATTATTAGGAAAGGCAGAAGTTTGTTACTTTAGCGTTTTTATTTTCTTTTCCACCCTTGCTTTTCACTTGGGTGTTTTTGTTTTTGTGGGTGCAGATCTGAATCATGGATCCTCATGGCTTCTCCAACAATTGGGGGTATCCACCACCACCCGAGTGGTATTACCCCGAGACTCCCTGGAGCAATCAAGGAGGAGAAGACTATGGATTCGGGTTCCAGTACCAACCCCCTTACTACGGAGAACAACCGGACCCCTGGGCATATCAAGAACAACCTCATTACCAAGAAGAATTTCTCCCACAACCATAAGGGCCATCGGCGCTGGAGTTACCCATGGCGGCCTTCACGGGCCATTCTGCAGAGCCATGCTACACTCCACAGCCATATCCAAACTATGAATTGCGGCTTCTCATGGAACAGTTTGCTCGAGACAGTGAGAGAACATTCTCCAGGATGGATCATTGTGTCCAGGCCTATCGTGAAACAGAGGAGATCCTCCTGAGCCTTAAGAAGAGCGTCGATGATCTTGAGCGATCTTGTGCACAACCTGCTCCCGATCACCCTTCTGCTACCATACTAGAAGAGGAGGAGGAAGAAGAAGGCTACAAGGACATTGTGGAGCACACTAAAGTTGTCACGGAGAGCTCCCGTGATGATCATGATCAGGAATGTCCTGTCATAACCGACCACACCTTCACACATCCCAAACTGAGCTTTGAAGAGGCGGGCATGAGTGAGGATATGCAAGAAGATCTCATGAAAGAAATTGCTTGGCAGCTTGCTCTCCAATCCGTGCTAGAAGAAGAAGAGCAAGAAAGGGTGCAGAAAGAAGTTGTGGAGGATGACGAAAGTGAAGCAGAAGGAGTTCTTGATCATTTCCCAGGGGTGATACCACATGAAGAAGAAAGGGAGGTTGAAGAAGCAATTGGTGTCCAGGCTGAGGATGAAGTTGAGGTGGAAGAGGCTTGCACCGGCCCTATAATACAAGTAATATACCCACCAAACTTTGAGGAACTACTTAGCAAGGACCCATTTGTAGTGTCTCTTTGCCAGACCAAGGCCACATCGACATCGGTCCCTCTTGGTGGACGTGATGGTGGTCAATCGATGTTGTCATATATGGTTTGGGGCAATGAGACGAGAGAAGAGAAGAAGAGGTCTCGAGGATGGAGACTTCATCTGCATCAAGTGCACGAGCTTCCATCACTAGTCATACCACATGCTTGTGACTTGCGACTCCACCTCATTGACGAGAACCTCAACTTCAAGGAGTTCTAGCATGGACCGAAACTTAGGAGCCATCGTCTGGCTCACGACGTGAAAAAAGCGCTTGTTGGGAGGCAACCCAACCAGTCGGTTTGCATTTCTTTCTCTATTTCTCCTCGGTTGAGTCGGTTTTGTTATTTGATTTTAGAGTCAATAACTCAACCTTTATGAGATTTTGTGTGGTGTTTGCGTTCTGATTACTCTCTCTTCCTGGAATGCACCGCCTGACCCGTCCATCATCATTCACCCTTGATCTGGTAACTTCGTTCTACCCTCCTTATCTTTCCTCCATTGAGGACAATGTCGTGCTTAAGTGTGGGGGGTGTTCGATTATGTATGCGGGTGAATGTTTGGCTGTTTGTGTGCTTGGAGCCTAGTCCGCTGTCCAAAATTTAAATTTGAGGGCTCCAAGTACTTGTTTCCTTGCAAATTGCCTGCTCAGTATGCTTTGAATCGACTTCTCTATAGTAATGTGCAACCTAGGGAGGTAGTGTAGCACTATGGAGGATGTTGACGTATAAGATTTTTCCTATCTAGCTCTCTGTTGTGCCAGTTGATTTTGTGAAGTAGTGGAGCTAAGACCGTTGAATTCATGTGGTAATGGTGACTCTGTTTGGATTGTGTTATGGACTCGTGTGTCGAATAGGGTGCTCATTTGGAAAATGGGAAGCAGTTGGTCCTCCATGTCGAAATCATTGAAATCTTAAACATGGGGTAAGCCCAACGTGTGTGGCACCGTTCATTGCTCAAAATTTGGGTTTTGGAAGAGATTTTAGTGATCCTTAGTGGGGGTACTCCTACAAGGTGAAGCTAAGATGTCTCTAGTACAAGTAAAATTTTCACCCGTTGAACGGTTTGCCTACTTGAGGATGTGTTTTTAAGGGCACGGATAGAGCTTCCGACCCCCCTTGATTTCATTGACCCTCCACACGAGTTGAGGAAAAGGAGTTAAAAGAAGTACTCTGGCGAGCGCTAGATGTACAAAAATTGCTCTTGCTCGACTAATAAGGGTCGATCGTGCAAAAGACTGCAGTTGGAACCCCCGCCAAGTGAATGAAGAAAAAAAGAGAAAAAGAAATGTAAATGAAAGTGCAAAAAGGGGTTCCAACGGTGAAATGAAGTGAAAGAGCACCCCGGTACAACGAGTCCTTGGTTGTGAATGGTGTGAGTCCCTTTGTCCATGAACTGACTGTCTTACTTCTACTTCTTCTCATGTTCCTGGCTTGAGTCTAGTACTCGCATTGAGAGAGATAGGGGACGTCTTAGAAGATCAGTTGACCTCGTAAGCTGCTATATGATCTAGGAAATCCTCTACCGACGATCGGAGTTGTTTGTTGCTATAGAGGTCTGGAGAGCTGCATTGGTTTGAGTTAGGTTTGCTTGGGGACAAGCAAACAGTTAAGTGTGGGGGGATTTGATGACTCGGTATTTGCACATGTTTTCCCCTTTGTTTCTTGATTGTTTGAGCTTGAATTATTGTGTCTTTGTCCTATTTTATTCTAGGTTGTGTTCCTTTGTCACATTTCAGGTCCTAGCACATAAAGTGAAGCATAGGCGCAAGTTTCAAATCAATCAGAGATCAATTGTCGATTCGGGAGAAGAAACTCGGGCATGACCTGAAGAAGAATGGATTTCTACCTCAGTTTATGGACAAAGAATCATGCAAGCTTTTCATGAAAATAAAGAGGACGAGACTACGAGTGTCTGGGATCAAACGGGGACTGATTCGCAGTCCGGACGAGGGAGAAACGAAGCATTAAACAGAGGCTGAGCAAGCCACACGGGCATCCTGGAACTCCACACGGCCGTGTGGGTCGTGGCCGTGTGGAAATCACCGAGCCTTCACACGGGCTGCTGGGAAAGCCACACGGCCGTGTGGCCTAGCCGCGTGATCGCGAATTTCTGTTTAAAACTCGATTTTCAGCCAAAGGAAAGGGGAGAGCTGAGTTTTTGGTTCCCAAACACCCAAGGGACGAACCCTAGAGAGAGAGCGACTTGAGAACATTCTTGGAGCTATTTTGGAGGATTTCTTCGCCATTAGAGCTCGGGAATCAAGCTTGGAGATGGAGATTGAAGATCTAGATCAGATTTCTGCAGTCTCTCTCTTCTCTATGGAGTAAATTCCCTTCACTTAGGTTTTGAGGAACCCTAGTTCCATGTGTTAGGATCTTTCTTATATGAAGTTTTGGATGCTTTATTGTTTGATTATAATCGATTGAGGCATGATTTATTGAGTCAATTGAATCTTGATCAAATTCTCTTGATTTCTGCTTTAACCTATGATAGATAGAATTTGATTAGGTTAAGAGAGCTTCCGTGATTGATAGTGGTGAATTGGTTGTGCGAGAGTCAACCAATTCACTGCTTTGTACTGGAATTCATTCCAGTAGTGGAGATCTGTGTGAATCGCCTTAGCAGTCTATCCCGGTGAAGGCTAGTCGCCTGCCGAGTATTCTGTCTAAGAGGGCTTGGTCAGCTTAAGAGATTCCAAGCTAATTTAGGATCTTCCGCAGTTTAATCAACAGTAGATCAACCAAAGGTAATTGCAACTTGGACCTAATTGAGGAGCTAGGGGGAATCATACCTAAGTGAGTTCCCAACTTGTAATTAGTAGAGTAGTCAGTGGATTAGTTTATAAATCAATCCTTAATCTAGTTTGCTAGATAATGAATTGAAGCTGAGTAATAGTAACTCTAGAGACCCGTGGATCGATATTTATTACTTGTGCCACTATACTGCAGTCCCTTTCATTGGTTACACTTGGCCATTGTTAGGTGTTGTGTTTTAGCGTGTCAGATGTTTATGAAGATCAATTGCAGATGCAACAAATTCGAGAGGAGGAGAAGAAGGTTCAAGCCACAAAAGGTGTGCAGAAGGGTTTGAATAACTTGGAGTCCAAGGCATTGATGCTAGATCGACAAAGAGATATGAAGCAAGCTCTCTATGATCAAGTGCCTATGATTATAGTCTTATACAAGAGAGTGCTACTCAACCAAGAGTTGATTCAAGAGATACCACCTAGGCCACGAGTGGTATTAGAAGAGTTCGAGGATGTCTTTCCCGAAGAAGCACCAAAGGGATTACCTCCAATCTGTGAGATAGAGCATCAGATTGACTTTGTTCCTGGGGCTACCATTCCAAACAAGTTAGCCTATAGGAAGACTCCAGAGGAGACAAAGGAGTTTAAAATGCAAATCGATGAGCTTATGGAGAAGCACCAAAAAAGTATCGTCATCCTATCCCTCGATTAGATGATATGCTTGACGAGTTACATGGTTCTAGTATGTTTCGAATATTGATATAAGGTCTGGTTATCACCAAATCCTCATGAAGGACGGAGTAGAATGGGAGAGAACTTTTAAAATGAAGTATGGTCTCTATGAATGGATGGTGATGCCATTCGGATTAACATTTCTTCGAGTACATTCATGAGGTTGATGAACCACATGTTGAGAGCATTCATTGGGAATTTTGTGGTTGTATACTTCGATGACATTCTAATCTATTCGAAGGGCATGACATCTCGAGCACTAACGGGATGTATTGAAAACTTTGAGAAAAGATCATCTATATGCCAATCTCAAGAATTTCACGTTTTGCACCTCAAGTGTGGTGTTGTTGGGCTTTGTTGTTAGTGCTAATGGAGTTAAAGTCGATGAAGAGAAGGTGAAGGTGATTCAATCATGGACTACTCCTACAAACATGAGTGAAGTAAGAAGTTTTCATGGGTTGGCTTGGTTCTATCGATGATTTGTGCCCAACTTCAACACCATTGCCGCGCCATTAACATCCATCATTAAGAATAATGTGGCCTTATATTGGGGAGAAGAGCGTGCTAAATAAAGCATTCGAGCTCCTCAAGTACAAGCTTACTCATGTTCATGTTCATGTTCTGATGCTACCCGATTTTAATAAGACCTTTGAAGTGGAGTGTGATACATCAGGATTGGGAATTGACGCTGCCTGTATTGATGCACGAGAAGAAGCCAATTGCATATTTCAGCGAGAAGTTGAGTGGAGCTACTCTTAATTATCCAACCTATGATAAAGAGCTCTATGCATTGGTTCGAATTTTGGAGACTTGGCAACATTACTTGTGACCAAAGGAATTTGTTATCCATACTGAACAAGAGGCATGCTCGTTGGGTGGAGTTCATTGAATCGTTTCCTTACATTATCAATTACAAACAAGGCAAGGAGAATGTAGTTGTTGATGCCTTATCGAGAAGATACATATTAATCACTACCATGATGCAAGGTACCTTGGGTTCGAGCAAATAAATGCATTTATGAGGAGGATTCTTAATTTTGAAAGGTCTATAAGCTATATGAGAAGCATGGAGAAAGGAAGTACTATCGTCATGAACGCTACTTGTTTTGTGGTAATAACTCTGCATACCACATACTTCACTTCAAGAGTTGCTACTACGAGAAGCTCATGAAGGAGGATTGATGGCAGACTTTGGTGTAGCCAAAAGATTAAGTTGATTACAAGAGCACTTCTACTAGCCTCATATGAAAAGTTATGTGGAGAGCTTGTGTGTTATATGGGTGGAGTGAAAGCAAGCGAAATCGAAGGTGCAATCGACTGAATTGTACACACCACTACCTATTCCATCAGCACAATGGATTGACATCTCTATGGCTTTTGTGTTGGGCTTGCTGAGGACCAGAAGAGGGTGAGCTATCTTTGTGGTGGTGGATCGATTTTCAAAGATGGCACATTTCATACCATGGAATAAAATTGACGATGCTATCAATGTGACGGACATGTTCTTCAAAGAGGTGGCGAGAATACATGGGATGCCACGAACCATTGTTTCATATCGTGATGTGAGGTTCTTGAGCTACTTTTGGAAGACATTGTGGAGCAAACTTGGAACAAACCTCTTGTTTTTACTCCTTGTCATCCTCAAATAGATGGAAATGCTATAACCAGTCATCAAGAGCAACATCAAGACGTGGGAGGAGTGCTTACCACACGTGGAGTTTGCCTACAATAGAGTTGTGCATTCAACAATGAAGTAATCCTCTTAATCCATTGGATTTGATACCTTTACCTTTGAAGTAGCAGGTAAACATGGATGGAGCTAAGAAAGTGGGGGTATGTAAAGAAACTCCATGATAAGGCTCGACTAAATATTAAAAGGAGGACTACGCAAATTGAGAAAAGTGTCAACAAGCATAGAAAGGATAGAAATTTGAAAGCAAGAGATTAGGTTTGGGTGCAAATGAGAAAAGAGAGATTTCCATAGCAAAGGAAACCCAAGTTGGTGCAAAGGAGTGAAGGTCCCTTTCAAATCATTTTGAAGGTTGAGACTAATGCCTACATGCTAGACCTACCAGATGAATATGGGATAAGTGGAACCTTAAACGTTTCTGATCTCGCACCATTTCTTGAGGATGGCTCAGATTTGAGGGCAAATCCTTTTCAATAGGGAGGGACTAATGAGGTCATCAAGACCAATCATGCTCAAGATGAAGGTCCAATGACTTGTGCTAAGGCCAAGGATCTAAGGGATCAATTTGAATGCTATTTGGGTCCTCAATTGAAGGTCATGGATGAGGGAATGCTAGAGAAGAAGAAGCCATCACATTGCTATGATTTATGGACCAGAATGAAGAGTAGATGGGCTTAGAAGACGGGGGAGTGGATTTGACTATGAAGGCTCTACAAGTATAAGTGTGAATGAAACAAAAAGTGTGAAAGGAACCTATGTTTGAACACAAGAGGCAAGTGGATTTCAAGGCATGATTCTAGGAGAAGTTTGACTTGTTCTTTTACTTGTTTGTTAAGGTTTTTGTTTTCCTTTTTCAAGTAGGATTTGTTTATATTATCATGTACACTGGTGAGGACCTATATTGTGAGTCGTTTAGACAGGTTGTGGACCAGGTGAGGACTCTTCCTTTACACAGTTTTACTGCATTCAAATGTCATTTATGTTGTCAAGATTTTTGTTATTGCCCATATGTCGGTGTCATATAGCCATTGTGATTCACTGTTTTGTGCCTTCATGACATGCTCCCAAAGTTTTCAAGAAAGTGGTTGTAAGCTTACCTGGTGTCATATAGCCATTGTGATTCACTATTTTTGTCACATTTCATTTCAATTGGAGGTCAAAGCGCGCCAAAAAGTGAAGAAGAGGCCAAAATCACAGCTTGGGCATGAAGATCACGACCTTAGGTCGTGACCAGTGCAAGGAGGGCGTACAAATTGTGCGGATCCTATGGCAATAATAGGCAGGTCATGACGTTGGCACAATACTCTGCATTTCAGCAGTGATCATGGTCTGGTCATGGTCATGATCTGAGATCGTGACTCGCGCACAATTTAGCTATAAAAGAGGCAGTTGCGGGTTTTAAAAGGGGAGCTTGGTTTTTCTTTAGGGTTTTGACCCAAATCACCCAAAGCAACATTTCTAGAGAGATTGGTCTTGAGTGATCTTGGAGCTTAATTTGAGGTTAGGTTGATATTGGATTCAAGGAATCAAGCCTAGAAGATGAATATCTTGCTCTATTTTGTAATCTCTCTCTCCTTTCTATGAATTAGCCCTCTTCTCTTAGGTTGAAGAACCCTAGGTCTAGATTTTGACTAGATATTGTTGTATGTGAATAATCTATGTTTTGATTGTTCATGTTATCTATTTGATGTTGTTATGGATTACATGAGTTTGAATTCCATTTCATGTCAATTGAGCTTTTGACCTAAGAGGGAGAAAATCCCCTTTTAGCCCATTTTTGGCAATTAGAGTCGCTCCTCATTCTATGTCGTCCTGGTAATCCTTCGAGGAGTCAATTCGATCGATATCCTAACGATATATGTCTCCCTAGGTCGAATAGAGCACCTACCAATCCATCACTTTGTCGTTCCTAGTCAACCTCGAGACGGCCGATCTCCTAACGATAGGGATATAGAGTCAATAGACCTAGGATGGTACACAACACACATCTAAATGATGGAACTGGAGGGGTTCAAGCTAAGAGAGCTTCAAACTTGTAATTAGTTAGAGTAGTGGTTAGGTTAGTTTAGTTAGATTAATTTCTTAATCACTATTCTAGGTTGGCAAAATTACGAAACTTAAGCCAAAGTAAGGTACATCTAGAGACCCATGGTTTGACACCTTGTCGTTGGTTAAACTTGGCCTTCCACTGGGAATTTGTAGTTAGAGCGAGCCACTGTCACGCGCCCTCACATTGCTAATGTTGTCAACATTTTGAGTCAGTATGTTCACACTCCCTATTGAAGGTGATCTTTCCTTAGTAACTCACCGTGATGCTGATCGGGGCGGTTACCCCACCACTCAACAATCTACTAAAGGTTACTTCATTACTTTGGGTTCTTCTCCTATCTCTTAGCGTAAGAAGAAACATACATTGGTTGCACGAACTTCTGCAGAGGCCAAATACCGTGTAATGGCTACCAAGGTGAGTGAAAATCTCTGGTTTTACTGGTTACTCCGCGATTTGGGTGTCATTCTCACTACACCTACTCCTCTCTACCGTGATAATTATGCATCTCTACAAATTGCTACCAATCTTGTTTTTTCATGAGTGCACCGTACATGTGGAGATAGACTGTTGCTTCATTCTCGAAAGTTTACATTCTTGTGACATTAACCCTCTCAAGATTGCGTCTTCAGATTAGCCAGCTGATATATTGCCCAAGGGTTTGAGCGTTGATAAATTTCATCATCTACATGTCAAGCTCAGATTCCTTGACATCCATTCCTTTGCTTGAGGGGGCGTGTTGCAATGTCGCGAGCTCTCTTAGGCTTGCTCGTGACTCACTCTCTTGGGCCGTTCCATCTTTATTTCATGGCCCATTTATTTTTCCTTTTCCCTACGTAACTTGTTGACGGGAACTAGCTTTGCACTTTTCTTCCTTTGTATTTAAGGTCGAGTTCAATGTTAACAGTCGTCGCTTTGTAACACAAACACATCGATCAATAAGACATCTCTAAGAGCTCCGGATAGTCCCCTTCACATCTAACGGGGAAACCACGTATATCTTGTGTAGTTCTCTTTTGTTATTATAATTTTCTACAACTACGATTTCAATATTATATATCTTACTGCTAAATTTTTTGATCGAACCTCCTCTACGGGTTTTCAATAGTATACTGATTGGAAAAGAAAAGGAGAATGAAGATATGGGATCAGCTTGCTAACTAATTTGGGCCCTCTAGTCAGGCCCCTTTTATCGGTGAAGGGCTATAGGGTAGGACATGAGCCCGTACCCGGTAGTAGGGGTGTTCAAATGATTACAACAATAATTACCAAATCAAATAAGACTAAATTTTATTAACCATGCAATACAATATCATCACCAAACCGTCCAAACTAATACAACAACCGAATTAACCAAAATAAAGGTTAATCGATTTGGTTAATTGGTTAACTAGATTAACCAATATAACATCACATTGTCATTGAAATTTTTTTTCGGTTAATTCATTAATTCGCAATTCATATCATGCAACTAATATAATTATAATTAACTCTTAACATAAATACATGCAACTAATATAATTATCTTACGATCAATAGAAGTATTCACCTAACAAAAATATATGTCAATGGTATGGAGTTATGAATTATCGTGTTTGTGTGAATAGACTTTCCTTTCAAATTTTCATCCAACATAATGTATGAGTTTTGTCTAAATTAGACATCCATATGTTGTATTTAGGCCTGCCAATCGTTTTACTGGTTAAAAGTTTAACCGGTAACCATATCGGTAATAGGTGGTTACCGGTTAAACCGTTAACGGACGATGTCAGTTGTCGGTAGAGATTTTTGCTCCATCGGTATACCAGCATACTGACAAGCTACGACACAACACCAAACTGTGACCAAGTGTAATAGCAGTCCGGAAATGCAGTAAAGTGGCAAGTTCTAATTATCAACCAGGGTCTAGATCTATTGCCTAC